CCCTCCCTCCCTTCCTCCCTCCCTGTGGCGCCCTGCAGCGTCTGGGCCTGCTGCGGGTCCCTGGGTGCTTGCGTGAGCAGGTCTGTCTCTAGCCCTCCTCAGTGGTGGCCCCAGACAATGGGTGTCATGTTAGAACTTGTCCTCAGCGTTAAGGAAACTCAGGCCTATAGAGTACTCAGAGCTGTGCCTGGCACGCGCTCGGTGCTGTTTTACAGTTCGAGGACCCCTGTTCTGGGCCCCTGTGGGCCCTGTACCCCAGCTGGTTCTCTGAGGGGTGGGCAGCTGCTTGGGGTCCGGGGCTTGCGCTCTCCTCGCGGTTGGCTGCTTGTGCTGGGGAAGACTTGAGTGTGCGTCCGGCTGCCCCAGGCGCCGTATGATTTTGGCGGCGCCAGTGCTAGGGGCTGAGCACGTGCTGAGGCCCCGGGGTGCTCCATGCGTCTGCGCCGTATCTGCGGGAGCCACATGCCACCCCGCTCTTGGGGAAGGGACCTGCGGTGGGATTCAGAGTAAGAGCGAAGGGGGCAGCCGTATGTTACTGTTGCTTTTGACCAGCCTGGGCATCCCATGTTTGCTCTGGCAGGACAGGCGGGTTCTTTGGGGTGGAGGCCAGAGATGGCACAGGCTGGGTGAAGACTGCTTGGTGGCAGTACTTGCTTCTGACCCAGCCGGGGGCTCAGGGGCGAGGGGCTGGAGAAAGAGCTGACTGTGGCTTGGCCTTGAAAACCTTGAGACCTGTGGGGGCAGCATGGTGGGGCTCTTTCTCCTGGCCTCAGTTCCGGACATGCAGGAAGGCCCCGGCTTCCCCAGCAGCCCACCCTGCGGCGGGCCTGGCCTGCAGGTCAGCCGAGCAGAGGATGGCCGTGCAGGTCTCTGTCCTGGCCGGTGTTGGTGGGGGACACAGGGGGTCCCAGTTTGGCTGGAGAGGGGGCCCTCGCTGACTTCTGTGTCCTTGGCAGATATCACGCCCCGGTACTCGTTCCCAGCTCTGCCGCCACACTACGGGAGGCCGTACCCGTTCCTGCTGCAGCCGACGGCGGCTGCTGACGCCGACGGCCTGGCCCCTGACGTGCCGCTTCAGGCCGATGGACCGGAGCGCCTGGCGCTTTCTCCTGAGGACAAACCCCTGCGCTTGTCCCCCTCCAAAATCCCCGAGCCGGTGCGGGAGGGCCCCGATGAAGAGCCTCTGCCTGACCGGGAGGTGAAGGCGGAGGTGGAGGACATGGACGAAGGCCCTTCAGAGCTACCTTCCCACGCGTCGCCGCTGACCCTGCCTCCCGAGGAAGCCCTGGCGGCGCCGAGCCCTGTGGGCAGCTGTGGAGGCGGCCTGCTGGAGGCCCAGGCGCTGAGCGCCAGCCCGAGGGCCGCGGCGCCCGCCGGGTGCCCGGGCTTTGTCGAGGGACCTGAGGTCCAGGTTGGCTCCCCGGGCCGGACGGAGCCCTGTGCGGCTGCCCCGGACCTGGGGGGGCAACTGACGCCAGAGACCCTGGTGGAGGCCAAGGAGGAGCCCGTGGAGGTGCCCGTGGAGGTGCCCGTGGTTGTGCCCGTGCCGGAGGCGGTGCCTGAGGAAGGCCTGGCTCAGGCGGCCCCCAGCGAGCCCCGGCCCAGCCTGGAGCTGACAGACTGTGATGTGTCTGCCGAGGGCACGGAGTGCCTAAGTTTGGAGACCCAGGAGGCCACTGCTGTGCCCAGCAGCACCTGCTTCCTGGAAGATGCGGTCTCTGACCAGTTCCTGCCTGGCCCGGAGGACCCGCTGGCCGGGATGAATGCCCTGGCCGCGGCTGCGGAGCTGCCCCAGGCCAGGCCTCTGCCCTCCCCGGGCGCTGGGGCCCCAGCCCTGGAGAAGCTGGGGGCCGCGCAGAGCCTGGTCCTAGAGCAGAGCTTCCTGCACGGCATCACCCTGCTGAGCGAGATCGCGGAGCTGGAGCTGGAGAAGAGGAGCCAGGAGGCGGGAGGTGAGCCTGGCGGGCAGGTGGTTTCTGGTTTCTCTAGGGGATCAAGGAAGAAAATTAGACATTCAAAGTCTGAAAAATCCCAGGATGTGGTTTATTCGTGACCGTTCTTTAAAAAACGATGGCAAAACCTACGTGGTGTCAAAACTAACATCTCAGCTATCTGAATATACGCTCTGGTAGTGTCACACCTTCTTGGTGCCACAAGTCTTTGAGTTTCTCAGTGGTAAACTTGTCCTTGTGCTGTCTGTGCTGTGCCTGGCATCAGCAGGGTTGTTTGGGTTATAATGGACAGGAAGTTTCCTTAGAGCCGGCGTAGGCCTCCTGCCATGTGCTACCCCGAACACATCTGATCTTGTCTGAATTGGCTTAGAAAAAGGCAGGGGAAATTTATTGGTTCATGGAACCAAAGTCCAATAGAAATTAGGCAGTAGCTTCCGGTATGGGCGGACCGGGGCACTCAGACGAGTCACCCGGGGATTCTTTTCATCTGCCTCCCCTTCTCTCTTCTTTCCTCTGGTTTCACTTTTCTCTTGTTGACTTCTACCAAGACAGGCCTACTGTCTTGTTGGGGGTCACCAAGAGGCCCAGGCCCGTGGGCCTGCCTGGCACAGCACACTGCCCAGAGCAGTCACTTCTCTCTTGGTAGCTCTGGCAAAGATGCCGTGATTGACTGTCATGAGGGTTCTTGCTTTGTGCAGAGGCAAATCTTGTAGCCCAGGAGAGGGCGTGGGCTGCGCTGGTCACCCGACCCTTGATGGGGTGCGAGGACATGTCCTCTAGGGAGTAGGGAATAGGGAGTAGGGAAGTGTGGTCTTCCAAGGGAAACCGAAGCCTCCTGCAGAAAGGGCAGTGGGTTGTAAGCCAGCACAAGACCCCTGAGGTTAACAGAGGAAGTGGATGTGCACCGGGAAGCGTGAAGGGGTGCAGGTCAGGCCCACCAGAGGCGCCGGGGCAGAGGCTGGAGGGACACCAGTGAGTGGCATGTCCAGCGATTCGGTGTCTTCTCTCTGGCACTTTTTCTGCACATACATACCCATTTCTAAAATTTAAGTTCATTTTGTGGACAGTGTTCTGCCGTCTGGCTCTTTCAGTTAGTAACATATTATTGATGAAACATTGTTCAAAGCTGCGTGCCCCTAAAATTGTTTTTCGAGGGGCTGCCCAGTTTTCTGTCCAGCGGAGGCCTGGCTTGTGGTGACCCAGCCTTGCATCGGCAGGCATTTCAGTTTGTCTTTTTACTCTTTTCTGGCTTTGAAAACAATGTGATGATTACCTTTGAAGAGCAGTCATTACCCACACCTCTGGGGGTCTGTGTGCTCCTGGGGTTAGAATTGCTGGGTCCAAGCGAGGCCACATATTTAAGGCTTTTTGTTGTGGTGGTCAGATGGCCCCGGGAACCTTGGCGTGTGTCACCCCCTTCCTGTGGGTGTCTGTTGTTCCGAAATTCATGCTTTTCTTCTCCCATTTCAGTAGTTTGGCACTGGGTAATTTCCTTTTTCAGAAGAAAATGAAAACGCCCTCGCTCTCACTGATTGGTGGCCGGTTTTCCTTGGGGAGTGCCGAGGGCCAGAGAGCACCGGGACGGAGGGAGTGGAGCGTGAGTTGCCCACTGTGGGAACCACAGCCCACCCTCACCCGCGTTTGCACCCCTGCCTCATTTTGGGACACTGTCTTGTTTGGTATTAACAGGATTCTTTGGTTTGCACAGGACAGAAATGCTCTGGCCCTATATTCTGTCATTTAACGAAAACTCTGTCTCCTTGTGCCCGGCAAGGCTGTCCACGGGCAGCTTTCGGCACGGGCAGGTGGTGTGTGGGCACAGTGGGAGGGGATGGGGCAGAAGTGGGAAGGTGATGGAGGGTGGGAGGAACAACAGGTACAAAGACCATGAGGCCTCGCAGGGGTGTGGGTGTGGCGTGTTGGAGTCGGAGAGAGGAAGGAGGTGGACGAGCGTGGCCAGGAGGTTGGGGGCTAAGGGCAGTGGAGCAGATCGGGGACTTTTGAAGTGGAAAGTGGTTTGGGGTTGGAAGAGAGAGTCAGTGTTCACGGGTTGTTTTGGGGGCGTGTGGAGGGGTGGGGATGGCCAGGATCGAGGTGGGGCGGGGGGGGGGGGGGCCATAATGTGAGGAGCAGGCCAGCCCCCCGGGAAGTTAAAGTAGAGCCAGCGGAGCTCGCCCAGCCCAAATCAAGTTTTGTTTCTTGTTTAAATATTTATTTATACATACAAGAATTGGGGTGCAGGCCAGAAACACAGGTGGTGAAGGATTCACCAGAGACAGAGTGGGGAGCAGAACAGGCAGATTGGCTGAAATAACACTGCTGAGGGGAGCAGCAGGTGGGTCAGGAGAGGTCTGCTGCGCCGCGTGGGTCACCTCCTGCGCGGGGATCGAACTCGTGCTGCAGTGGCTGCAGAGAGCTTCATTCTAGTGCTGTGCTTTAACACCCTTGCACCACCAGGGAGGACCCCCAAGTCCAGTTTCTTACTAAAATTTAGAAGTCATGGCTGGATTTACTGATTTCTGAGCTGGGGGAACTGGTAGGAGTGGGTTGGGGTATACAGCTCTCAGCACGGGCTTGGGGGGGTGGCACAGCCGGACCTGCCACTCAGGCTGTGCTGGGCCCAGAAAGTGCACTCGGAGGCGCCACTTCGCCAGCGCGAGTGGGCGTGGCCCAGGGTGGATGGCCCCAGCCTCACAGCAGCCTCCAGTCTCCTGGGCCCAGGGGTTCTCCCACGGCCCATACTACTACGACTGGCTCTCCCACACCGCTCCACCAAGTCGTGAGTGGACTGGGTGACCCCTGGCGTGGCCCCGTCCCTCCTTGCCTCCTGCCCCTGTGCGCCTCTGCCGCTGGACCGACACCTGGGTCTGTGGGTTCTGAAATGACAGAAACTTACTGCTTCCCACACTGGAGGCAGAAGTCTGAGTGGGCTGGTGTCTGTCTTCTCCGTGTGTGGACGGCTGACTTCTGTGTGTCCTCACGCGGTGGCCCAGTCAGCAAGCCTGTCCCTCTGGTGCCACTTGCTGTCACTTCCTCTTCCAAAGTCACAAGTCTCATGGGGTTAGGGCCCATTCGAGTGACCTCACTTTCAAAGTTGACTATGTCGTTAGCCCCTCTTTCTCTGGTCTTCTTTCTAGCCAGGTCACATACTGAGGCCATGGACTTAGAACTGCAACATGTGGATTGGGGGACACAGTTCCGCCTGTAGCAGCCGAGTAGAGCGGCTTGCTCAGGATACGCCGTCAGGTTGTGGGGACCTCAACAGGACGTGCTGTCGGAGGCTGACAGTTGCACTGTGGTCTCCTCCTCTCTCCCAGCAACGAAGGATCTTCTGGCTCTGAGGAGCTTGGAAGGGATGGGCCCTACGACTGACCGCAGTATGAGCCCAGCCCCCTCTGATGGGGAGCTCACCTCTTTGCGGCTCGGCTCTGGTTTCCCTGAGACTGTGGAAGAGTGACGGGTGCTCCTGCTGCGGGGACTGGGGGGCACAGCTTCAGGGAGCGCTGCTGCCATCTAGTGGCTAAGGGCAGGGCTGCTGCTCGTCCCAGCAGAGGGTGTGAAGCCCAGTGGAACCGTGCCAAGATCGAGAATCCCTGGCCCACAATCTATTATCGGTTGATTTTATGGGGCTTTACACATTGACAGTAAAGAATGTGCTTTTTGCCTCAAGTACATGTGGAGTATACACAGAAATTGCTCATATATTAGATTCAAAGAACGCATTAATTACAGAGTTAAAACACATGATAATTTGGTAGAGGTTCGGGGGTACGGACTCTCCTGTGAGGTGCTCAGTTGATGTAGCCTTCCTGAGAGCTGGAGTATTTATCAAAGAGGTAAATGCCGACACCTTGATTGCATTACTTGGCCTGGTAGCGACGGTCCTCACATGTCCCTTCAAGGAAAAAACACTGGAGAAAAAAACCTAATACCGGGGCCCTCCCTGGTGGTGCGGTAGGTTAAAGCACAGCACTGAGAAGCTAAAGCCACTTCAGTGTGAGTTCCACCCCCGCCCAGGAGGTGACCACGTGGCGTGGCAG